CCCTGAACCCTAAACCCTAAACTCCCTAAGCCCTAAACTCCCTGAACCCTAAACCCCTAAAACCCTAAACTCCTAAACCCTAAACTCTCTGAAGCCTAAACTCTAAAACCCGCCTCCAAACGCTTGGAGTGGGGGTCCGGGGACGAGGAGAGGCGCTCGACCGAGTTGTCGAGCCCTGGGAGGTCTGAGGAGGTTTTGCTTGTTTACTGCTTGGGTTTAGGGTTTAAAGTTAGTTTAGGGTTTAGGGTTTAGGGGTTAAGGTTTAGAGTTTGTGTTTGTTTACTGCTTGGGTTTAGGGTTTAGGGCCTAGGGGTTAGGGTTTAGGGTGTTGTTCATTTACTGCTTGGGCAAGTATTGGGGTTACAAAGGAATAACGGAAAAGAACATGGAAACTACTTTTTGGGGTTTAGGGTTGAGGGTTTAGGGTTTAGTGTTTAGGGCTTAAGGCTTTGGGCTTGGGGTTCAGAGTGGATTTTAGGTATTAGGGTGTGGGCACTATGGGGATGTACAGGATTACATGGGAACACGTTGCGCCCTAAACCCTAATCCCAAACCCCAAGCTCTAAAACCCTAAACCCTAACACCCTAAAACCCTAAAACCCTAAACCCCTAGAAACCCTAAACCCCTAGAAACCCTAAACCCTAAAACCCTAAAACCCGAAATCCCTAAATCCCTAAATCCTTCTGGTACGAAGCCATTTTGGGCTCAGACTGCTAATTACCGCCAAGCTGCTGAAACTCGCTGCGGCGCGCTCCTGCTGCAAATGGCTTGTAGCGTTTACGCTTGAGGGGATTAGGGTTTGGGCGTTTAGGATTCAGGTGTGGAGGGGTTGAGAGGTTTTCGCTTTAGGATTTAGAGGCGTAAGGTCTTAGGAGCTAAGGGTTTAGGAGTCTAGAACCTGGGGTCTAGGGCTTAAAGGTTTCTGCATGCTTTGAGGGTCCACGAACACCCTTAGCCATCAGCCCTACACCTTACATATCCCACATAGCCCTTCAGATCCCTACAACCTCACGAAAGCTTCTGCCTTGAGACGTAGCTCTTGTTCACAGGGGATGAGTGAAGGAAGGGATCCTAAACAGCAATCCCTGCATATTCCCAAAAAATACTGTAGTTCCCATTTTGGATCTTTTCCGTTTCCTGCCAACCAGCTGTAAGGTAAAGCATCCCTCAACCCTAAGCCCGAAACCCTAAACCCTGAGTAATAGGTTCCATCTTCTTTTCCTCTATCGCTGTATGACCCTATATCAGCCTATATTACCTATATTACCCCCAAACCCCTAACCCCTACCCCCTAAACCCCTAGACCCTAGACCCTCAACCCTTAACCCCTAAAACCCTAAATCCTAAAACCCTAAAACCCTAAACTCTCAACCCTACAGCCCTACAACTTTAACCACCCTAAATCCTAAACCCAAAACCCTGAACCCTAAACCCCCAACCCTAAAACCCTACAACCCTAAAACCTTAAAAACCTTAAATCCTAAACCCTAAACCCTGAACCCGCTCTGGCACTCCTCACTCTGCCCAAAGGGCCGCCACAGCGCGCCGCCACTGGTGGTGGTGGCGGCAAAGGACTCGCGACTGGCCTGTGCGGAATATGGAGGATCTATGGAATTTAGGGTTTTAGGGTTTAGCCTTTAGGGCTTTAGGGTTTAGCCTTTAGGGTTTTTGGGGTTTTGGCTTAGGGTTTTGGGGTTTTGGCTTAGGGTTTAATGTTTGGTGTTTAGGGGGACTTAAAGGAGGGCACGGGGATGTATAGGGACAGAGATACAGGGTTGTGTAGGGATGTAGGAGAATGTAAAGATGTATTGGGGTGTAGGCTAGGTATGTATAGAGGTGTATCGGAATATGTAGGGACATATTGGGCTGAGTGCTTTGGGTTCAGGGTTATTTGTTCATCAGGGTTTAGTATATACGGCTTCAGGACTCAGAGTTTGGGTTCCTTCTTAGCTTAAGGTTTTGAATGCAGGGCAGTCTCTCCTCGCAGGGTCGTGGAGCCTTAGGAGTTCCTGATTCTGGGTATAAGTGTGGTTTGAAGGTTAGGAGGCCCTCGACTTGTTTGATGAAACTGCCTTACAGCGACATGTGAGCGCTCATGTAGAGATGCGCCCTTAGGACCTAGGATCAAACATGTATCTGGAGTTCAAATGTACTGCCGCAACCCCAAACCCTAAACCTAACACAAGGCCATCCACGGAGCATGGCCCCTCAGGTACACAAACGCATGTCCAGCCATGTTTGGCGCCATCCCCGAAATAACAAGAACCCCCCCAGCCGCAAAACTGAGTATTCCGTATGCTAACACCACTTCGCATGAGAGAATATTTGAAACGAAGCGTAAACCTCGTCTGATCCTCATGCTAGAGGCCTGCTTCCGGTGCTTAAGTGGTCTTGTCCATACAAGTCAAGGTAAAAAGAGGTAGCTATGAGAAGCTAAGTAGGAGGGCATTAATCCCCAAAACCTCAACAACTAACCCCCCACCCTAAACCCCCAAACCTGAACCCCTAACCTCCTCCCCAAACCCCCAAAACCTGAACCCCTAACCCCAAGTTCTAAACCCTACAGCCCTAAACCCTCACCCCTAAACCCTATGGACGCTAAGACCCTAAACCCCTGACCCCAAAGCCTAAGATACACACCCCCTGAACCCTAAACCCTAAACCCTAAGCCCAAAACTTTGCCGACCCAGTGGCTGGAGGCGGCTCGTTATGTTCAAAAGTTGGAGAGACGGTGAAGGGCCCGCCTATGTCAACCTCAGGACTGTGCGGCATTGGGCTTAGGGTTTAGGGCTTTGGGTTTAGGGTTTAGGGGTTTAGGGTTTAGGGTTTAGACCTTTGGGTTTAGGGTTCGGGGGTTTAGGATTCAGGGGTTGGGATTTAGGATTCAGGGCTTAGGATTTCGGGCGAAGGATTTAGGGCTTAGGATTTAGGTTCAAGGTTTAGGATTTAGGGCTCTAGGGCTGAGGGTTTGGGATTGTCTAGGATAGAACTAGGATGCGGAGGGGGCTTGGGGTGCTGGTGCTTTGTGCTTCTGGATTTGGCATGTAATGCGAGTGTTGGGCTTGTGTAAAACTTTGCACGGTAGGTTACAGACTTCACAACTTCACGGGCAGGATGCAAGCTTGCATGAGTCACGCTGGATATGCCCGACACAGGCCTTGCCAAATTTTGGCCAGCAATGATCTTTCCCATGCTCTCAGTCCAGACAACTCTCCTCAGCAGAATGCCCCTATACACTCAAGTCCCAGTAAACCTTAGCCTTTGCCATCCCCAAGCTAATCTGAAACCCAATGTAGCCCTTCGTAACTAGCCAACCTTTATTACAAGGACAGCAATCCCCCTTTTGAGGGGTTCCCTGTCGGGGAGGGTAAAACTTCAGCCCTGCCCAGCGACGCTACGCCGCAGAAGACGACACTCGCGGCCGCCCGAGGCCAGAAACCAGTGGCCCTCCAAATCCTGAGGCGAAGGCGAATGCTGTAGGGTAATGTAGAAAAGGTTAGAGGACAGTTTGTGAAATCCCCCCCAGCAACTTATAATGGTTTCGTAAGAACATAGAAGGCCAAGATTACCGGTATCCCTTGCAGTCGCAACTCGTGGGAGGGGGATTAAGGAAGAATGCCAGACAACTAAGATTTAAAATCGGGGCCCATTTCCATCCCCCAGCACAAGCACCAAGCTCTACATTACCCCTAATACCCCTATCCCGAAATGGTACCCTCGAAAACATGAAACCCAACCCTAAACCCCGAATAGGATCTCGTAAACGCTACATGGAGCTACAGTCACTATTACTGTCTATGAATTTACAAAGAGGGGTGTTGTTGGGGAATATGTTGGGACTATTCTAAACTACCAAAGGGACCCCTATGTCCACCCTTAATGATTCCTTGGTATTGCACATATTGACAGTAGCTCACTGAACCCGAACCCCGAACACCGTTTTCAAGTCTGGCTTCCCTTGCAGAGCACTTCTCCACCCGGCCCTCGAAGAGAGAGGTCTTCCAAGAGAAGGCACCTTGTGGGTTTTGGGATTCAGTGCTTAAGGACTTGGGGCTTAAAGTTTAGGCCCAGACGCGCTAACCCTAAGCCCTAACGACTAAACTCTAAAGCCTATGGGGTGCGGGGGGTGGTATTTTGGGTATGTCTTCCAGCCACGAGATGAGAAAAGCGCAAGATTTGATTCAAGCAAGTTAGGGCTTAGTCTTGAGGTGGATTTGAACCACATTACCCTAAGCCCAAATGGGGAATTAAGTCTTCTACAGCAAGGTAAGGGGACTATGGGGTATCTCCTCCAAACGACCTTGCAACCCCAACGGAGTCCTCGCATAAACCATAGTCATTGCAATATCGTAGTGGCATGTTACTTTGGAGTTTCCCAAAAAAGGGAACCCCGATATAGACCCCAAAATGCTAGGATCCTTATTATAGGGACCCCCCACTAATGGTACCCGTAATTTTGGGAAACCCTCACTTCGTTGCTTTCTTTGGGGGCGGGGAGGGGGGAGGGGGTTGTGCTACTGCTAGCTCTTCAACTCTGCAATTCTTGTGGGTGTAGGGCTTCTCAACACCCCCAGACCCTAGCGTGACATACAAATATATATATATACATATATATATACACGTATATATTTTTATTCTGTGTATCTACACACCTACTTGATCTCTGTTTATTAAATATGTACATATGTTTGTGCTACTCTCAGCAATGAAAGCTTCTGTAAGAAGTATTTTCATAACAATCATACATGTGTAGAAGCACAGATGTGACATGATGCCATGCCATCTTGAGGGCAACAGCCATGACGTGGGGAGGGAGCTGGGGTGCTTTACTAAGCAAAAGGCTAGAGTTCAGGCTTTATGGCTTGCTCGTGATTTATTTCGCTTTAGTGTGGCCTTAAACAATCTCTGGCAAGGTGAGAAGATCCCTTCACATGTACATCTGCTCCCTCCAACTGGTGCAATGCTAGTCTCGAGAACAAAAGTTACCCAAAGAGCCCAAACTCCCTTACAGTGATTAGGGAGTATTGCTTAAATGATATTATGGGATCTTAGTAGGATTTAAGGTGTATTTCTGTTATATGAAAAGGCATTGGGCTCTCTTGGTAAGTCTAAATCCATCTCCCTGCTCGCTACCAGGCCGTATAGGCCCAGACTCTAACCTTCTCTGGGTCTTAATCAGGAGTTAGTAGGGTCGAATTTTCTCATGCTGGTAATCCCTGACCCTGAGCCCTGCACCCCTAAACCCCTACCCTAAACCTTGAACCCTGAATCCTACCTTAAACCCTCGGGCCTTCTCCCCGCGCCATTGCGCGCTGCATTTTGGCCTCAGGCAATAAGTTTCTGTCGCTGATCAGGGGGTTTAGGGTTTAGGGGTGCAAGGGCTTAGGGGTTTTGGCGCCCCCAACCCCCCCAAAATAGGACTACCCTTCAAGGTTCCCCTTTACCCTCATCATCCCTACATTACCCAAATCCAGCATAACCTATGCGAGAAAAAGGACATAAACTCCAAATCCAAATCCTACGGCTCCAAATAGCCCAAGGTAGGTACTATCTACACACATCCTGGCCGAATGTAAGCATTATTCATAAACTTAGAGCCCTACACTACCCTACTGTTGCACTCATCTTGTACAAGTCTATTAAAAGTGTCGGCCTATTGTTTCACAACTCCCTTCACGGTGTTTTGGTTTTGGGCCCCTACCGAATCCAGACCATCCCCTATAAAGCAATCCCCAAACCCTTCAACCCCTAAACCCTAACCCCTATACCCTTCAACCCCTAAACATTTCAACTCCAAACCCTAAATCGTAAACCTAAAACCCTAAAACCCGAATCCCTCAACCCCTGAACCCCAAACCCAAGCCGAGCCCAAGTGCGCTGAGTCCGACGGGTACAGGATGGCTCCAAAGCACCGCCTCTGACTTGCCGGTACATAGAAAACACTTAGGGTTTGGGGCATGGGGTTTACTACTTAAACCCTAAGTCTCAATCCCTAAACCCTAAACCCCAAATCCAAAACCCAAAACCCTAAAACTGGGTTTAGAGTTTAGGGCTTAAGGTTGCTAATCTGGCTTGCTGCTACATGGGAAGCACTACTTAGGGCTCAGGGTTGCTCAGCTGAGCTTTACGGTTACGGCTGAGGGTTGCTAATCTGACTACATACTCTCGATATACATACACACATAAATACATACATGCATAGGGTTTAGGGTTTAGGGTTTTAGGGTTTAGGGTTTATGCACAAACATATTATACTGTTCCGCTTCTTATCAGTACTGAGGGTTTTTTGGTGTAGGCCGTGCGCTATAAAGCACTATCTGCTACAGCTTGGTAGGAATTTATGCCGCTACTGAGTGGGTATAGTCCACTAAAGAGTAAGTATTTGCGGTTACGAGTACCCGGACACCCGAAGTCTTTGAAATAATGGCCGTTTGAGCTATTTAGTTGTTTGGCCGTCAGTCTCCCTACACCCCAAACCCCTGAACCCTCGACCCTGAACCGCGAAGTGATCCTGCCTTGGCTGGCCTTTAGAGACCTTTGAAAAATCTTAGTATAGATGGGCCCCATAAAACCAATACGGGAAAAT